AGATATGGTAAAAAAAATGTGATAGCGATTGATCCACAATTCTATACCAATGTGGTCAGAAACAGGGATAATCAAAGAACTGTCAGTTTCAATTTTGCCTCCTTAAATGACAGGGATATACTATGCACCCTTTTAGTAATTATTTAATGAAAGCCAACATGCCCTAGTTACTACTGTTGCATAGCAAACCCCTCTAGAGCTTTTAAAGTAAATTGACCATTTTAATACATGCCCAGATTGCGCGGATTAGAAATTTAGACACAACATAATAAGCATGCTGTGACTTTGCTCCTTGACATTTTTGGGCTAATCTGGGAAAATCAAGGCATCCCATAGATCATTGTCTTAGTTCTAGTTTCCCCATAAATAACAAGGAAAAAACTTGAATGCATGCAATTTATATTGGAAGTGAAAGTAAAAATGTGAGGTAAATGACAAAAGCCAACAGTATGTTAACAGGCAGTTTATCATTATGAGAAGCTGGGGCTCAATCTTCTGGCTCCCATCTCTCTAAAGAGGATTAAGAGGATGGAACACTTAACCAAGTACAATTCCCATTATTTGAGGAATGAGACCGCACTAGTTTGAAGCAAGCACTATGGCCTGCTGGCAAGAAAGCTTTCAAGCTGAGAAAAAAAAGACTTCTTCAAGCCCTTGAGGCAAGGAACTGTCAAAATATGTGGGAATCATCTAGGATAGATGCCAGTGGACTTCATGTGGGCTGGGGGAATACGGCATAGGATGTCAACAACATCTGTCCAATCTTCCAATCTGTTTTATTCTTTGAGAATTATTTCTTTAAAATATTTTTTATTTTTATTTTATGTATATGAATGTATTCCCTGCATGTATGTGTTTGCACCTGTGTCCTGCAATGCCACAGAGGTCAGAAGAGGGCTTCGGATTCCCCTGGAACTGGAGTTAAGGACGGTTCGTAGCCACCATGTGGGTGCTGGGAATCGAACCCAGGTCCTCCTCAAGAGCAGTCAGTGCTCTTAAGCACTGAGCCATCTTCCAGCCCCGAGAATTATTTCTTATAAATATATTGGTGGTACACATTTTATAACAGCCGTATGATCCAAAGACTTTACAAATGAATGAGTGGTGGATTTTTCCACAAACTCTGGCTCTTTAAGCCTCATCCCTCCAGAGGTCATCATTTTCAACTCCGTTTTGACGTTACTTGCTTACATATTTTAAAACACTGTGAACATTTTGATATGTCAGTTTGTAACTAATCTTGTTCTGGTATTATGGAAATTGACAACTTAGCACTTTAATGCCATCCATCCTCAAGCTCATTTTCCTCTCTTCAGTTTTCCAACATGAATCACAATTGGTGGAAAACTCAATATTTATATTACCTTGATATTATAAAGCGTTCCCATTAGCAGTTCTGTAGTCCCTCACGGCAGTGGTAGTGACTTGGGCATGACAGTGACTGAGCTGTGAGCCAGGCAGGCGTGCACCAAGCCATATTCCCCTGGGGCTCCACACCTAATGCTGCACTGGTGCTGAGCTTGCCCAGGCCGGGAAGATGGTGAAGTATTTCCTGGGCCAGAGCATGCTCAGAAGTTCCTGGGACCAAGTGTTCTCTGCCTTCTGGCAAAGTACCCAAACCCCTATAGAAAATATGTCTTAACTGAAGGCAGTGCACCAAGAGGTGACCCCTGACGAGAAGCTTCTGTCTCAGAGAATCCTGACCAAGACCAAGCGGATGCCATGCTGGACAGAGGAACTGTTTCTTGCTCACTGGGTATACATCCTGGAGGTCTTTGTTGTGGACCCACAGAATCAGACCGTGCCCACCTTCACCTTCAAGTGTCTCTGGAGCTGTCCAGGAGTTTGGTCTTGCCCAGTTCAAAAGCCATGTGACCAAGACAATGAAAGGCTCTGAGTACATCTTGGCCAAGCTACAAGGTGAGGCCCCTTCCAAACACTTGTTGAGACAGCTGAAGAGGCAAAGGAGAAAGCAACTACAGAGAAGGCCAAGAATCTCACCAATGAGGACACCACCAAAGAGCAACAGCAGGAGCAACAGTTCATCTAGCCCACCAGCCAGTGCAGGTCAGCTCTCTCTCCCTTCTCCCCATGTACTTTATTTCTTTATTATTAAAAATCAACTGCAGCCTTCTCTACTTTATGGGTGGTGGGTTGGGACAGGTGTCTTGCTCATCATCTATGGTATACCATGCGTGGTGTCCATTGAGTCCGGTTTGCTTATTCCCCCATTGGCCAGCTGTGATAGGTGCACAAAGTGGGGTGATATGCCCATGGTCACAAAGCAGAGTGTAGGTGAAGTGGTAATAAATGATAGACTGTAAGCTCCCCGAGGGCAGGGTTCCTTGTGCTATTCTCTGATGTGTCTTAAGTACTTAGAACAATATTTAGCATGTTAAGAGGTACTCAATGAATACTTGATTCGATTGCTTCCTGCAAACGAGTTTCCATAACCAAGATAATGTACAACTATTGTAGGTCCTTGCTTGTAAAATATTTTCTATTACAAATATTAAACTATTCATTTTTATCTGATTTAAAATGTAGCTTGCTAATTCTTCCCAAAGTCTCCAACACAAGGCATAAAAATAAAAGTTCAATATTTTTAAAATTTAGTGCAACACTGCTCTTTTCTTTATTGAGTTTTTGTTCATTTTTATTGGTGTCTTGTGCCTACTTTAATTTTGATAAGTGTATTGGTCAACAAACATAGCTAGACTTTCCTTTGCTTTCATCCTGTGAGTTTTGCTTTTGTTTCATCTGATTTAGATCACTTGTTCCTTAGATCTTGGAACTCCTGTCTTCCTCTCTCTTGGCTTATGACTTTTCATGCAAGATTGCTTCCTGAACAGTTCCATGGATTGTAACTTGTTTTGAGTAGAAATTGTTTCCAATGATAGGCGATATCAATATTTGATTATCCCATTTAATTGCTAGTTTAAATAATTGTAACATTCTAGCTGGAATACCATTCTTTGAAAATTTCAAGGGTGATCTGTAATTATCCTCTAGTTTCTAGATGTTATTATTGGGCACTGCTGTGCCATTACAATCACCACATCTTTGCAGATAAGCTAATCTATATGGAGCTATTCTTCACTTATTTTTAACTTTCTCTGTCAGAACTGCCATGGTTTGCTCCTTACCCCTCACATGCTAATATTATGTGAATATTGGATTTAGTGTGGTGTTTAGTTTCCCTATCTGGCCCAATGTGCCCATTAATATTGATATTTGCACCTCTGATTACTGGAAATATGTTTGCATTCCTTTTTTTTTCTCATGCTTGTTAGGAAAATGTACTCCTAGTGCTTTTCTACCCTCCATTCCGTCTATATAACTTTCATGAATTAAACATAAACTTCCTGTTTTGATCTCTCCCTTATTATTTCTTGTTCTCTCCTACTTTCCAGCTCTTGCTGATTTTCCTATTTGTAGGATTCTCTATTGGATCTGTGTTTTGCTGCTGGTGTTTTTAATTTCTAAGATAATATTTTTCAACATAGTCTTCATAGTATGAATTATTTTCTAGCTCCATTTATATCATATCTCTAGGGACTACTAGCACATCAAACTTTTTGTCTTATATCCCTGAGTATTTTACCATTTATTTGAAGTTTTTTTTTCCTTTGGAGTCATTATTTTATACTCTGCATTTTAATATGTATAAATGTTTCATTTTTTTCCTTTCTTGTTGGAAGCTTTACTCAAGTATTTTTAAAACTTTGTCAAAATATCAATAATGAGAGATTAATTACACATGTATTTGCTTCAGCACAAGAGCGGTTTCACTTAAGGATGATCAGAGTGCAGACGATCTGTGGGAGGAAACATTCCACACTGTACTACTCTTCAATGCCACAGAACCTTACCCCTTGGAAGATATTGATCACCCAGTGATCTTTGACATCTATTGTATATAATTTTAGATTTTAGATTACAGTGTATTTTTTTAAAGAAGAATGTCTGTAGTATCAGTTTTTCTTCATTCCATTCATCCTTCCTTTGTTTTTCTTTAGTCTTTAAGCACAAAATCTCTTTATATAGTTCAAGCTAACTTGGAACTTGTTATCTCACCATGCCAGCCTGCAATTTGTTACCAACTTGCCTTGGCCTTCCAGTTGCTGACATTACAGGTGTGCACCACTCTACCTAGCTTAATGAGTCACTGCATTTGAGTAGTACATTGGTACAGAATGCACTAGAAATAATACACATGACTTAGTTCTAATATAGATGCAGGGAAGAATTTGTTTAGAATACTTCCAAATGTTATCAGATACAAAATGATATATCAGACACTGAATTTATTTTTTACCAGAATTCATAATAAAAAAAAACCCCAAGAAACAAAGAAACAATGATTTTGAAGATACTGGGCCTCCAAAACAAGTCCAATGATACTTGAGAATTGGGGAGCAAGGGATTTTTCATCTTTACTACAGTTTGCAAGGCCCAGTGCTGGTGCGAGGATGCACATACATCTTCCTAGGTCCTCTTAAATTTGACATGAATGTAAGAATTCAGGAAAAATAAAGGGGCTGAGATTTTAGGACATAGTAATTAATGGAAACATCTAACCTCATGAAGAAAATACAGAAGAACTCTAAAGGGCCCCTCTCAATGCTCTTTAAAATAATAATCTTTAGAGTACTTGTGGGACAAGAAATAATTCAAGGACATGAAAGAACCATCTAAAAACATACTCAGATACTATACAGTTTCAGAATTATTGCCTGTCCACACCACGTAAGCTAGAAATTTCCAGGTAATATATTAGCTTTGTACTACTCAGAAGGATTAATTTCATTATTTTTTAAAATAGTGTCAGCCAAAAAGCTGTTCTGATCTGGCCTAACAACACATAACTTGGGAAAAAGGGAGGTTCGTTGATAAGAAAGTACAAAGGAACTTCTCATTTGCATGCTCAATAACATCACTTTATTGATTTTTATTGACCTAACGTGTAATTACAAGTGTTGTTGGGTTGGAAAGCTGAATATTTTCATTTTAAGATATAGGTTAATGAGCTAAACATGCATTGTTGTTGAGACAGAGTCTCCCTGTAGTCCCAAGCAGGACTGGAACTCAATGTGTAGAGAAGGCTGGCCTTGATTTCTCAGAGATCTGCCTACTTCTGCCTGCCAAGTGCTGGAACTAAAGGCATGCATGACCACATCAGGCCTGGACATGCATTTTAAGCTAGTAAGAAGACACAAGTTCAGTGAAACCTGCAGAAAGAAAATAAGAAAAGCAATTAACAGTAGCATAAACATATATAAAATACAGAATAAAAAATACTGTTTATTTTTTTAATCTGGGCACAGTGATCCCAGCCACTTGGGAAGCTGAAGCAAGAAGGTCATTGAGCCACAAATACAACATCATCTTCATCCATATAGTGAGATTCAGTTCAAAAAGAAGACATAGAAAAAATAACTGGAAAAAGCACCTTATAATCAGTTTGTATGGAAAATATGACAATACATCTCAGAAATCATGAGAGTAAACAAAAAGCGATGCTAAAACTGCCATTGCTGAAGAAAAAAAAATATGTACTGGATTATTTCTCCTAAAATGTTCAATGTAATAACTAATATTTGAGTAAAATAAAAAGGTGAAATGAAATTTTCTTCAATATTAAATAAGGAAATTAATGAAATGTAAACTGATTTTTAAGTCTATAGATGAATAAAAGCTTCATTGGAAACAAAAGTATCTTTTGTGTGTATGTGTGAAAGAGGAGCGAGAGAGAGAGAGAGAGAGAGAGAGTTCTGTGGGTGTGGGTATGAGGGAGCAAGAATACATTAAGTGATATAAAACATGTAACAGGTATATCATTACAAAGCATGAAACACTAACAACCATAACAAAAGCTATTTGATCAAGTCAGTGAATTTTAGCCTACAAATTGAAATTAAAACTGAAAAATGTTTAACAAATTTAGTACTTTGAAGTTCACATATTCCACTATCTTTCCAATATCTAATTATATAAGATTTTAGATTAGATCAGATTAGACACATAAGTGAAACAAATATTTTTTAAAAGTAGTTTAAGAACCTGTGGCTAGACAGGTCACAGGTCATAGGGAAGAACCTAATACTATTTTCTGCTAAATGGTTTCAATATTAAACCAACTCTTAAAAACGTTCTATTATAGCCATAGAGTACCACATCTCTCAGCTCTCACCAGATATGCTAACCAGATATGTTGACTAACACAGAGATACACAACTTGTCAAGGTTCAGAGAATGAGACTGTGGTGTGAGCGCTCAGCTTAAATGTGACACCTACATCATACCCCCTCCTTCCAACGCTCAGAGATCATTGCAGTGAGGAAGCAAAAAGATTATAAAAGCCAAAAGTTGTAGGTAAAACCTGTTTTCCAGACACAACAGGGCAGTTGCACATATGAACCCATAGTGCTTATGACAGCATAAAGAAAACCTGTGCAAGCCCAAACCAGACAAATATCCAGCATGGGAGGACAAATAGTCAAGGAACCCAAGCCTTAGCTGAGGATCTATTGACAACTCATAGCTGCTGGGAGAGGGATAATCAATTCTGTTTGAGCGTTTGAAATCTAGTAGGTTGACCAGAATTCAGCAGATAAACCCACACCCAAGAGCATTTGAGAAACAAAGCTTAGACTTGGTAAGCCTTATAAAATAATAAAGGACATGAACTGAATGGGGTACAGAGGTGGGGGTAGATCTGAGAGAATATGGGGGAGCATGTGATCAAAGTACATTGTATAACGGTGCTAGAGAGATGGCTCAGTGGGTTAAGAGCACTGGTTGCTCTTGCAGAGGACCTGGGTTCAATTTCCAGTCATTCACATGGTGGCTGAAAACCATCTATGACTCCAGTTCCAGGGGAATCCAACACCTTCTTCTGACCTCCATGAGCACTGATTGTCAAAGGTGCACTTACAGACACGCAGACAGTAAATTCATACACATAAATAAAAGTAGCAAATAAAATATTTAAAATACATTTTATGAAAATTCTCAAAGAATAAAAATATTACTTTATTTTAACTTTTTATTTATTTACTCTTATTTTATGTTTATGAGCATTTTGCCTGTTTGTACATAAGTGCACCATGTGCATGCAATGCTTCCAGAAGCCAAAAGCGGTGTCAGATCCTCTGGAACTAAAATTAAAGACAGTTGTTAGCTGCAATGTGGATGCTGGGAACTAAACCTGGGTTCCCTGCAAGAACTGCCAGTGCTCTTACCCTCTGAGCCATATCTCAAGCCCCAATAAAAACATAATTAAAATGAATAAAAATTACAGTCATCTGTGACTTCCAAACATTTCATTTGGAATTAAAGCCTCTTTGAGATCACCAAAGAAAAAGGAGTGATAGGCAACTTAGATGGCCACTAAGGATCCCTGCCTTCTGTAGCCAGTACAAACATATCCTTTTTCTTGTGTAGTCAATACCTAGTAACTTGCTTTGAACAAGACCACTGTGATAGATATTACACCTAACATTAGTTTATGAAAGACTCTGCCTTCTGTTGTATTTGTACTCTCTCTTATTTCATTTTGTGATGTAGCTTGCTACTCTGTTGTGAGCTACCTCATAAGGATTCCCAAAATAATAGGGAGCTGAGGAAGACTCACGGCCAAAAGGCAATGAGGAACTTCTGATCTCTGACAACATCACTGTGAGTGAGATTGGACAGCAATCTTTCCCTAGTGAAGTCTTGAGGTGTTGAAAGCCCTAGAGGACACTGAAGATATCTAAGAATTCATCAGCCCAAGACATCTCAGCCAAGGTTTGCCTATACTCCTTTTCCAAAGAATCCAATTTTGTTTGAAGTCAGTAAGGATAAATTTCTATGCAGAAATAGATAATTTGGAAAGTGAGGCCTGAAATTTCCATCCTTGAGAAAAATGGGGTCATAAATTGACAGAATTAAGTGTAAGGTAACAATAACAAATTCAAATTGGAGCTTCAGAGATTTCTGATATTTCTCATTCTATTGTATTTTGTCACTGACGATCAACTACCACCACTAACTTCCTATGTGTTGTACAAATGCCAAAGTTGAAACCAATTTTTCACTTCCTGCTATAAATAAAATCTCACTATGGAAATCAATAACCAAAATAGCAGCTGGCATACCAACAAACCATGTAGAGATTTTTAAGAAGTTCTACAAGTAGCACAAGACACACCACACAGTGTCCTGTTCTCCCAGAACTTCCCATGGCTGCTAATGAAGAGATAATCATCTCTGTCTTCTGACTGAAAGGATAGAAACCTCAACTTCATACATAGTAAGAAAAAATCAAGTAGTATCACACACTATGTAACTATGAGTTGAGTATGTACATACTTAGCTGTCTAAATATGATGCAAAATGTTATAAACACAAGTGATGTTTATATTTCAAAAAATGAGAGATGATTAAGTCATTTCTTTAATGTATCTCCTATAATAAACATTAAGGTCTTAATTATATTTTATCTATAAATATTTTAACTAAAGGCATTTTAACTATAAA